TTAATCGAATTTAATTCATTTGTTCACGGCCACATTTAAGTTATTCCATTGCAAAATTTGAAAATTTCGTCTAAATGGCCATCATTCACCGCCATTTATCTTCCTTAATTTTTTTTTTTATTTTCTTAAAATAAAATTTGTTCACAAGTAAAAGTGCCCGTCTTCACATTATGAACAAAAAATTTAATTTTTTCTCGTTTCAACTGAATTACAATTCTTTCTAATCATAATGTAGTAGCATGAGAAAAATATACTTTTGATGTTTTAAATTGCAGAAATTTTTTTTTTTTTTTAAATGTTCTCTTTGCATTCCTTTCATCACATACTTCTTTTTTACCATGCAAAAAAAAAAAACGAACAAAAATTAGTACTTTTGTACTTTGGAATTTCTTTCAAATGTCTTAATTATTTAAATATTACAAAGGATAATTAATAATTCTGTAAGCACAGAATTATATCGACAGAGCTGCTTCATGCATTCAACAATATTTTCAATCATTGAAAAGTCTGGATATTTTAATTCCTTTTGATCTTTTTAGTGACACTCTTAATCTGCACATAATTCCTTATTTCAGGATTTCATTCAAGGGGGTCATATTATCGAAGATCAGACTAATCAGAATGTTAGCAGATGCATTGTTTACATTTAGTTCTTCCAGAAAATCGGAGAAAAATTCTGATAGGAAGATGGAATGTAATAAGAAATCAACTTGCTCATCCGTGACAAATGCAACTTCAATTCTAAACGATGATCAACAGAATGTTTCACCAAAGAGGTTAGCAGTAGTTAAACGAATTTTACAATACGAGCAACTTCTGACGCTTACCGTTGATAATTTGCACCACGATGATAAAACAGAAGATATCGAAAAAAGTTGAAAAGATGTGAACCATTGGAACAAAAATAAAGTCAATGCGAAAATTTGTGCAAATCTACTACCGTTTTTCTGGTCGAAACATCTTTAGTCTGTATAATCGAGATTATTCATCATTAGTTGATGGAACAGAGGTGTGCCGAAATGATGAGATTAGAGAAGATTGCGAAATTGCCGAAGGGAAAATAGGTGATAATGAAGAAGAGATGGAAGAAGTTCAGAAAATAGAAGGGACAGTTTGTGTTCAAAGAAGCATATAAGAGTGGAAATAGATGATGAGGAAGAGGAAGCTGTAAGAGGGAAGCTAATAGCATATCATCCGCATTTCTTAGCGCAAACCTCTATACCGAGTGGAACTGATACAACATCGAGATTGGGTCACTGCTATTCTACCACAACCATCACCACCACCATCACCACCACCACCACTATTACCACTACTACTACCACCACTGCTATAACTCTATCACATTCAAGTAATTATCGTACCAATATTTTAATGAATGAACAAACAGGTAATGATAAGATGAAAGAGATGATAATAGGAAATGATATTATATGTGATAAAGTAGATAATACCGTGCAGTTTCGTGTCTCATCATCACATTCATCTGATAAAAATTCAAGTGCTGGCAGACTGCAAAATGTGGATTCTGAGATTAACTCTATAAAAAGTAGAGGAGATCAAGAGGATCAATTGAGGAAGGAAGAAGAGACGGAGAAAAGAGGAAAGGAAAAGGTGGAAGAAAAAGAAGGTGTTATTCGATCAGTGCCAATTCGGCTAGTTCGTCAACCATCCGAAGAAGGCTTTCATCAGGTTGTCAAATTTACAAAACGTATAACGCGAAGAGGAGAAACAGAACTTCCGGAACCGAAATCGTCATTTACTCATACTGAATTTAATGAACACGGAAAATGCTCATCAGAAAAAGTTGTTTGTGCTGTATCGATTAGCAAAGATTTGACAAATGAAGAATTAGATGGTTTAAGTGCCGATATTCAATCTCAACCTAATTGTTATCAACCAACTGATAAAACCCCTCCCAGCGGATGTGCTAATAATGAATCCATAGATTTGAAGCTTTTAAATGGTGAATCAATTTGTGCTAAATCGAAAGAAATTCATGAAACGATTGAAGTAGAAAGTGATAACTTATCGCAATCGATACAGACCGAAAAGGATCAGCAAAAGTGTAACGAAACAGAAATTTGTCTTCAGATGGATGATGAAGCAGAAATGTTTGTTTTAGCATGTTATCTGAAATCCTTCAAATTTTTACTTTCATTGTGTAAATTGAAGCTACAAATTTTACTGTAAAGTCATCCGAAATTTTCGGAATCTTTTAAAGTTAATCAAATTCTTAAAATTTCCTGCAATTTTCTTAAATTTCTAATACAATTCTTTTTCAAAAAACGAAATTCTTCCTTTAAATCTTCTTCATTCATGTAATTTGTTTTCTTTTAAATGTTTATTACTGAATATGAATCATAAATTGCTTATTGCTAAGCAGTTTGATATTCTTTATCAGTCTTGAAATCACTTGTACAATTTGCACTTTCACTTTTTCCGTTAATTCCTTCATTTCTTCTCCACAATTTTTACATAATACAAAAAAAAGCAATAAAATGAGTGGTTATGAATTAGATTTCATAAAGTTTGCTAATGGTAAAATTAAGTGGGAATTTTTTCTACTGATTTCTATTTTTATTGGAGGGGTTTTCTGTATTTTCAGCATTATGAATACGGGAATAATTATTTTGATTATAAGTATTTATAAGAATAATTATAAATATTTATGATAGAATGGGAATTGATTTGCATGGATTCCATGTTTATGCTGCAGTTTGCTTTCTTTTTATTAATTTTTTTTGTATTATCAATTTTTTTTTTAAATTATACTCAAGGTTAGTGAGAGTAAGTTCAGTGAGAATGAGCAGTAAGCCAACATTTACTAATTTAAATCTGTCATTATTGTATAAAGGTGATTTATTTAAGCATATATTTTTTTACTGCCAATTGCTTTAATTGTTTTGGTATTTATGAAATAGGCATTCCATTTTAAGTGTATATATTTTTTATTGATTTAAATCAATGACTGATTTAATTAGTGACTTAATTAATGGCTGATGCTTTTTGCGGTATTTAATCCGTTTTCATTAATTAGAATGACAACTTGGTATTACGTCAATTGCACTTATAATTCATTTATTATTCAGTTATTATCTTCTGCTTTATCAAAGGAATTAATCAAATTTAGGAATGATGAAGAGTTGGGATATGGAAAGATGAATTCTAATATTATCTGACCGTAGTGTTTTGTGAATTTCAATTAATTACTATTTTAATAGGATTAAAATGAATGAGTGGGTTGTAATTGAGCCTGGTTTTGTGTGCGGTATAGCAGATTCTTTAGGCTTTTAGATGGAATGCTTATTTGATATTTCAAATAAATGGCTTGAAGAGTAAATCAGTTATGCTGCATTAAAAGAAGATTGAACGAAATTATCGCCATGCTAATACATGCTGCGATATATAATATGTTGGATAATCAATTTAACGTGTGCAAGTTTAGATAATTAAATTTTATAAGGTTTGGTGGTTATTAGCAAGGATGCATTTAAAACGCATTGAAATTGAAATATTAATAGGGAAAATGTTGCTAAGCAAAAATGTAACATTCATATTTATTCACCAATACGCAAATTTTTTTTTTCTCATTCTTTTGCAGCTGTAATATTTTTAAAACCAAATGAACGTATGCGTTGCATCACTTGATTTCTCGATGTAAAGAAACTTTCTTTTTTCTTTTCTTTTTTCTTGCACCAAACAAAAATTTAAAATCCAAAGTGCAAAGAGCAATTTGGAAAATTGATGTTAATTTATTTTTTATTTTAAATAAAATATTTAAAAAAAGTAGATTGTAAACAGTGTTAGTTCAATTTAAAAGATAATTTGAAAAAAAATCTTTTTTTCATTCTTCAATAATTTATTCAGAGTAATCGTTATTACCTAAGCACATTTTTTTTCATTGTGGTCCTTTTTCTCCTATTCTTGTCTTTTTTCGTTACTCTTATATCGGGAATAATAAAATTTGAAAATTCTATAAAAATTCTATAATTCAATTCTATAATTAATTGCTGAATAAAATATATCCTGAGATGATATTTCCAAATTGCTTAAACTGTTAAAGTGATCATTCAAATGTTTGTTAGTTTTAAGAGTTTTTGAGAAAAATAATAAAAAGTTTACACTAATATGAATATAAGTGTACAAGATGAGATTAAAATATTTATCATCTTTAAAATTTTTTAAATCCTTATTGTCTTCAAAATTTTCTCAAATTTCTGGAGCAAAGCGTATTTCATTGTAGCTGTGTTTTTGCAAGTCTCACATGCATGTCAGTGTTTGCATGTCATCTGCTCCTCCACCAAACAAAGTACTGCTATTGTGCAGCAGTGCAGCATCTTCACAAATAACTAATCATTTCTTTTTAATATCACAAAAATATTTCTTTCCTTCAATGTTTTATTATTTCAGCGTGTTTGATGCAGTATGAATCAAAAATTTCATTTAGCACATACATTTTTAAGTATAAAATTTATTGAACATTTCAAGTAACACCTCTATTAATCCATTTATTGTACAGTTTGTAATTACTAAAAGTTAAAAATTTTTATATGTAGAAATTTTAAATTTCATAAAAAAATAATTTCTCAGTGAAAATATTAATCTTTCAATTGTTATTTATAAATTTGACATTTGCAGAAAGCATAGTGAAATTAGAACAAATAATGTTGCAAAATTTAAATTTCACATTATGGCAGTAAAATTAGTAAACATTTATTGCTCAGGCATAGCATTCTCAGATTTATGGCATATATTAATGAGTTCATATGCAAATGTTCGATATTTTCTTTAATGCTAAATTTTAAAAAATATTTTTTAATAAATAAGGTGAAATTTTACTTCATCATATTACTTCCTCAAACAATCTTTTATTATTCATCACGAAGAAAAATAATCAGTTAAACATCTGAAAATATAAATGATCTATCAATACATCATTAATGTACTTAACTCTCTCGATATTATATTTCATATTCTATTATTTTGCAAGATAAAATCTATGAACTAAGTCAGTAAGTTTGAAATTTCACCATTTAGAAGTAGAAAGTTATTGAAAAGTTTGAAAAGTATTGACAGGATATTTATAAGATCAACTAAACTTTTAACTTTACAATCATCATTCATCGCTCTTAGCTTGGCAGTTATTTGAAGCAATAGTTATCAATCTGATGACAACTTTTAAATTTTAAAAGCAATATGAACAACGGTTTCTGCAATAGTTATATGATGTGTGGTATTAAAAAGTAAAAAATAAAAATAAAAAGTATTTCTGAAATATTAAAAGAATTCAATCGTTATTCTTATAATATTTCAGGAACACTTCTGCAAAGATAACTTTTATGAAAATTTGAAATGTTATGTTTTGAAGATCAAAAAAAAGAATGAATATTTGTCGTTTGAAATTTGTTATACCTTTTGAAAGATATGGAAATATGAGATTTTCAAAGATATGTTAGGTAAGATTTGCATATTTAACCGTTCAACAATATATTTCCATTACTATCATTTTTAGTTGCATTTATCGAACTTCAATAAGTGCCAATTAATTAACTAATTATAATATATTTAGATTTTCCATCGCTCGAAATTACTTTATTCAAGCTAATTTTTTCTCGCCAATTATTTGCTGATTAATTTATCACAGCTTCTGTTGAAAATTGATTTCTTAACTGGAATATTTTCAAATAAACTATTGGAAAAATTCAAGACTGAACTGTTTTTCAATTTTCAATTATTATCATTTTCATTTTCGTTCGTTTTTTTTTTTTAAAATCAAATAAATCTCCGCATCCCTTTAACATTTCCCAATGTTTGTTGCACAGTCTCATTCATTCACTTTTTTTTAAAAATTAAATTATTGAATTTTCACATTGTATGGAATATTACGCTCATTGTAATTGTCATATTTTGATAACCTTTTTAGAAGGAGTAGTACATATTGAGATTTATTTATTGCTCTGTATTCATTTAAAAATTTAATTATTTTTAATAAAAAAAATGATGAATTCTTTTTTTAAAAAAAGGATCAATCATTCTACTTTCCGGAACTCTGATAGCAATCAGAATATTATTAATTACTGATTGAATTAAAACAAAGAAAAAGATTCCTGTTTGGATTTTTTATCGATTACCAAAATTTCATTTATGTATTAAAATGCTTTTTACAGTGATAGTGAGATTAATTGAATTTAATATGCTTAGCAAAAAATGATAGTAACTGATAAGAGCAAACTTCGGCGATGCCGCATTTGATTAACGGATGCTTTTGTTGAGAATGTTTAAAAAATTGTGGCAGGAAATGATAGCATTCTTATTGCGAGATATTTTCCCACGAATTCCGAAATAAATTTTTTTTTTTTACAAACAGTGCTTTCTTTCCTCTCGTTTTAAAGTAACAACCAAAAAATAAAATAAAATCAAACGTTGTAATATTGAAGGAAAGGAAATAGATCAGATATGGAAATTAATAGTAATTCTTTTCGATATTAATAATTTTCATAAATTTAAAGTATTATTTTATTAGATAGTATATTTTCATATAAGAATATGTAACTGAAGATAATTTTCCTTTAAACGGTTAAAAATTGCAATGAAAATGTGAGAAATTTTATAAACAAATTTTGAAGGATTATTGATTCAATGCAATCTTATCTATCATTCCTCATTTTTTCTTTCTCTTCTCCTTTCTAATATTTTGTAATGATATAAACCACAATGATAAATTGTACCACAGTTTTTTTTAATCATTTTTTATCTTCCCGTTCATTCATTCAGAAATGCAATTTTACAAATTTTTCCTTTCTTCCATCTTTCCTGAATGTTAGGTTAGTTCAATTCATATTAATCCATATTTGTTGAAATTTTGTTAAAAAAAAAAAAGAAGGAAAAA